AGCTTCGCTATATTCTAACACAAAGTAATTGACAGCCTAATAAACTTATAAATGGAAAAACAAAGTGGGGTTCATGTTTGGATCCATTTCTGAAATGCACTTGAAGTGCAGTCTTTTGGAAATTACAGAGGATGAATAAGAATCCGGATGGTTATTTGAGTAAAGACTTGTATGCCGGGACACCTGGGTGGCTCAGTCGTTAAGCGTCTGCCTTCGGCTCAGGTCATGATCCCGGGGTCCTGGGATTGAGCCCCACATCAGGCTTCCTGCTCCGTGGGAGTCTACCTCTCCCTCTCCCACTCCCCCTGCTTGTGTTCCCTCTCTTGATGTGTGTCTCTCTGTCAAATAAATAAATAAACTCTTAAAAAAATAAAAGACTTGTGTGCCCTTCTGGAGGAACCGCCCCTATGTACCTGTCTGCAGCCTGCAAATCCCGTTTGCATCACTAGCAGTTCCTTGGAGGCTTTGGGGCTATCATGAAATAGTTCTGGAATGTTCGCTTATGCAGTGGATCTTTACCACAGGTCTGAATCTCTTGCGGTGCTCTGAGGGGAAGGCGGGTGGCGGCTGCTGAGCAGTATTTCTGTAGATACATTTCTGCAACATTATAGCCAAATGTTACTGAGCTTCTTATTCTGCACAATCTGGTCCCAGTTTCTGAAACCCTGCTTCTTGATTACAGGCTTACTCTTTGTGCTGGAGTGCTTGATCCCAGGCAAGGGGTTCAGGGTTTCGGACAGATAGGCAGAGAGCATCTGTTTCAGTTGAGTGATATTCGTGCTTTTTCATTATTTCAATGCCTCTTTCACCGTTAACCTTCTAAGGCTTTATAAGTGTTTATGAGAAGGAATCCGTATGATGTAGAAAGTTTTTCTGAGATATACAGACTGTAAATCACAGGTTCTAGAAGTGTTAGGTTCTTTCCAAGAAGTTGTTTCAATCCTAACAGCCACTGAAAATTCCCCTCAGTGCTCACGGTGCTGTTCATTCAGTGAGGGCGTGGAATGGTGCCCCCTACACTGGAGCTGGGTCTGCATCCTAATCCCCGGAACCCGTGAATGTGACCCACTGTGGAAAAAAGGGTCTTTGCAGTTATAACTAAATTAGATCATCTTGGAATATCCAAGTTGGACCTAAATACAGTGACAAGTGCCCTTTTAAGAGACAGAAGAGGAGAGACACAGACAGAAGCCTCACAAAGGAGACAGAAACGGGAAGACGTGGCCACAAGCCCAGGACACCCGGACCCCCAGGAGCTGGAAGGAGCAGGAAGGACCCCCCTGGAGCCTCCAGAGGGAGCGCGGCCCCTCAGACTCTGGCTTCCCAGCTGTGACAGGGTAGATTTTTGTTGCCTTTGGCTGTCCTGTTCATGGTGTTCCGGCAGAGGCAGAAATCTGACGTCACAAGAAAACACCAACATCATCATAGGGTGACTCCAGAAAGCGTGCGTTGTAAATGTCTGCGGCTCTATTCCCGGTCGGCATGCCCAGGTTCAGGGAGGGTCCCTAATGACGAGCCACACTCATGCCTGCGCCTTCTAGGTTGTTTTTCTAGGGAAAAAAATGCAGCACTTCTGCACAGAGATCAATTTTTTTTTTCCACGTGTAAGTCTGAGTTGTTAAATACAGAAGACTAGAATACATAATTCAGCATTTTAACTTTCATGTTTATAGAAGCAGAATAGAAGCCATGAATAAACACATTCTCAAAAAAAGGTTGTCTTAAATAAAATAACGTAACAGTTCATTTCCTCTCTCCCTCTCCATCCCAGAGTGGGTGGTGCATTTGCTTTATTTGGTGATAAAAAGTGGGATCACTGCCTCGGAGAGCCGCCCGTGTGGAGTGACTGTGGACAGCCGATGAGGCAGGTCCCGCCAGGCCTGGTTTTCGGAATGGGTCGGCTACATCAGGTGTGCCGAGGTGCGCGGCCTTCTCTCTCTTCAGTCCTGCCGTGGCGGTGCTGGAGCCCCTGCCCCGGGGACCGCAGCCTGAGCTACGTCCGGCAGTCCCCGGCTCGAGGCCCTTCCTTAGGAAGGGCAGCTCCCCTCTGGCTGCATGTACACCCCAGAAACTCTCCTGCAGCTCTCTTCCCCAGCCTGGGGGCCAGGCTTGCAGAGTGCATATGGCAACAGCGGGGACTGCCATCCATCACACCCAGCATGGCTTCAGGGGTCCTCCCTGCACCTCGGCCAAGGGCCAGCAGACGGGACAGCTGCGCGGGGGACAGCGTGGCCTAAGCCCCTTCTCAGAGTGTGTGTTCAGGAGGTGATCGGAGGCGTGTGGGCCCTTTAGTAGGGACCTCACTGACTCATTGTTCATGGGGGCCAAGCAAAGGAAACGGCTTGGACCTTCAACAGTAGGGTCTCCACTTGGTCAGTCAGGCCCCTCAAACGCGTGCAGGCTATGCTGAAGAGGCGTGGACAGGCGGCCACCACGTGTTAGTGGACCGTGTCCTAGGTAACTGTACATCGTAATTCCAGTCTGTAATTTAAAACAGGTTTGTGCGTAGAAAAGAGACTCCAAGGACAGATGTCAAGCTGTTAACTGAGGTGATCTTTGTGGGGTGGCATGCGGGGGTTTTCCACGGCTCCTCCTGCTGTCACGTCCCTTCTGTGTTGTCTACAGTCTTCTGGTTTTACCGTCTTCCCCACGGCTGCACGTTCCCTCCTGCCCCCAGCTCCTGCCACACACACGCACACGTGCGCACGCATGCCCTCGAGCAAGCAAACACATGTGAAAAGCTTCTAATTGTAAGCAAATGCTTTGCTTCTTTGGACAGGACTGAGATTTCTGAGAGAGGCATGGTGGGGACAGGGCGTCCCTTTTATGCGCGTGGAAACCATGAGGCCAGCGGGTGGCCAGGCTCCAGGCAGGGTCGTCGGTTGTGAGCTGTGATAAAGTCCACACAGCCTAGTGGTGGGGCCGTTTTGGCATGAGGGTGCATAGAGGTCATCCTGGGAGTGTGTCCCCGTGTGGACCAACTCTCACCCCAGGGCCCAGAGCTCTCGGGCACATGGTGGGAGGATGGGCTCGCAGCACAGCATGTGGATGGTCTCGCTGGAAAATAAAGAAATCCGGGTTGCTTGAATATTGAGATACCCTTTAACGGTTCTTGGGAGAAACACTAAAAAAAAAAAAAGCAGAGACTGCTTAGGGGCGCCTGGCTGGCTCAGTTAGTGGAGCATGTGACTCTTGATCTCGGGGTTGTGAGTTCGAGCCCCATGCTGGGCGTAGAGCAGATGGAGCAACACTTAGTGTTTCCCCACATTTAAGCAGGCATGTGTTAGGAGCAGAGCTGCAGGGGTGAGGACCAGTGTGTTAGGAGCAGAGGTGCAGGGGTGAGGACCAGTGTATTAGGAGCAGAGGCGCAGGGGTGAGGACCAGTGTGTTAGGAGCAGAGGTGCAGGGGTGAGGACCAGTGTCTTAGGAGCAGAGGCGCAGGGGTGAGGACCAGTGTGTTAGGAGCAGAGGTGCAGGCGTGAGGACCAGTGTCTTAGGAGCAGAGGTGCAGGGGTGAGGACCAGCTCGGCTGCTCTGCAGCCCCCATTGGTATCGTTTCCATGGTGACATGCCTGTGGCTGGGGTGTGACCAGCAGAATGGAGTAGGGGGCCATGGGTCCGGCCCATGGAGATGGCAGTGAGGGTCCCTGCTTCTGGGTGACATGGTGGGAGGCCCAGGGCTGTGGGGACAGAGGTGGTCATCCTTCCAGCAGACTGGCTGCTTCCCTCCAGCAAGAGTTGCCTCCGCTTTCCTGGGTCCCGCTGTCTTGGGCTGTGTCACTCTGGGGCATTTGTTTTCTTATCTGCCTCCTTCTGGGCACCTCCAGGGGCAGCGGTGACTGTGGCCAGGGCCTGCCACACTTGAACATTTGGTAGGAGTCTGAGGACCCAGCGGAAGACCGCCTGGCTGATGGTGTCCACACCCCTCCTGGGGTTCATTCCAGCATCCTGCCTTTGGCCTTGGCCAGTGTTCTTGACTGTGGGGAACCTTGGTCTGTCTTCGGGGCCCTGGTGCCATGTGCAGCCGTCCAGGTGCCGTCCAGGTTGTAGGGTGGTGTGAGGGCCCTGGGAAACTGCATTCAGACAGGTGTCCACCACCAAGCTCCTTGCACAGCGGGAAGTGAGATTCCAGGATCTGGATGCTCCCAGCAATCCCGGTGAAGTCTGGGATGACTGCTTTCAGGCGTTTAGGTTAATGGGGTTCCTGGGTGGATACTCTGCATGTTTCATAGGGGATGACTGTGGTGTCTATGGGTGCCTGTCGCCAACGGCACCACTCGGGATAAGCTGCCCAGTGCCCAGTGGAACCCTGCACAGTGGGGCTGACGCATGGGATCCCAACCCCCTTGACTACCACCAGGAGAGCATCCAGCATGGGGAGTGAGATGCCTCTGAGGGTGTGGCCGCATTCGGGTGTGGAACGCAGCCCCCCGCCGTGAGCTCGAGCTGGCCACACGGATGACCCCACAGGGGCCCGTGGCGTCTCTCTCAGAAATGTGGGCAGAAAATCGGACCAGATGAGCCACACCCCGAGGCAGAGGCCACTCAGCGATCTGTTGCACGTTTGGGGCTGACCCAAGCCTCTCACTTGGCTGTGTCCACTAGCTGCTTAGGCAGACCTTTCCTCTGGGCGTTAAAACTGCAAAACCACCGGCCTGCAGGTGTTTGGAGGGGGCGGCTCTGCCCTGCGATTGCCGGGCACCAATGGCCTGTGGCTGTGAGCAGAGCTATGGGCTGGGAACCGAGCTCCGGCTTCACTCGTCTTTACAGCTTTGTTCTCTGTTATGATTGTGTATGAGGACCTCACTGTGTCTCGGGGGCTGATGTGTAAGACAGTGGCTGTGTCCGGGACGTGCTGGAAGTAGTGACCTCTGACCTTTGGCAGAGCGCGGGCTCTCCGGCCTGGGCGTGCGGGCCCTCGGTGGGGGCCGTCTAAACAAGAGCAGGGCTTGTTGGGGCGGGCGGGCTGCACGCTGACTTGCGGGTCTGCTGTCTTTCAGTCAACGAGTTCACGGTGATCAGGAAGAAGTTCAAGTGCCCCTACTGCAGCTTCTCGGCCATGCACCAGTGCATCCTCAAGCGGCATATGCGCTCCCACACGGGGGAGCGGCCCTACCCCTGCGAGATCTGCGGCAAGAAGTTCACGCGGCGGGAACACATGAAGCGGCACACGCTGGTGAGTGGGGGCGGGGTTGTGAGTGCGGCCATGGCTCAGCATGGGGTCGGCATGGGGTCAGCGTGGACCATCACAGGGTCAGCGTGGGTCATCACAGGGTCAGTGTGGGGTGGGCATGGGGTCAGCGTGGATCAGCACAGGGTCAGCATGGGGTTGACATGGGGGGGTCAGCGGAGGGTAGTCAGCATGAGGTCATCATGGGATCGGCATGGGGTTGGCTCGGGATCAGCATGGGTCATCACAAGGTCAGTGTGGGTCATCACAGGGTCAGCATGGGGATAGCATGAGGGGTCAGTGGAGGGTAGTCAGCATGGGTCATCACGGGGTCGGCTGGGCCCATTCAGTGCTGGGCTGAGGGATCCAGGAAGGTGGGATGATGATGTGGGGTGCCCAGAAGGCCATGGGAGCCCTAAAGTGGGTTCCGCTCTGCCTTGGAAAGGCCAAGAGAGTAGGTAGAGCGATGTTGACCCCACCCCCCTGATAAGCTCCACCCCCTGAGACTGGGTGCAGAAAGCAGGTGGGCTGTATCACCCCCAGCCCCAGACCTCGGCCTGGCCTTGGCAAGCGCTTCCTCCCCTGCCAGGACCCCTGCTCTCGGCCCCTGGTGTCCCGCCATGAGGTCACTTCCTTGGTGCCCTGGCTCCAAGGCATGGTGGGTCCCCCTCCACCCCCCGCTCCCCCGTGGCCTTGTAAGGCGTTGGATTATCTGTCTGTGGTGGGCACCCAGCTGGAGTTGCCAGTTGGCAGGTGCTGCTGAATGGATAGATTTGCTTGGCCAGGAAGTGATAGGAAAAGGTCATCCTTGAAATAGGCAGATTTGCCAAAAAACACAGGGCAAGGGACACTTTGGCAGGTGAGCTAAACCGTGGGGGCCAGGGCCAGACCACAAGGCTATACATGGTGTTGTCTTCTTGAGACACACACTCAGGGTGGGGTTCAGGACTGAGGGTGGGGCCAGCTGGAGCTTGCAGGGCTGAGGAAGTGGAGGCAGCCCTGGGCTGGCAGATGCCCAGAGCCCTCAGCCTGTGCCATGGGGGCCGGGAGAGGGCACTGGGGTCATGTCATGAGTTTGGGAATCTCAGAGGTGTCGGGAGTCGCCTGCGGGGTGCACAGACTTGGCTGACCCTGCAGCATGCTGAGCTGCTGTCAGGAGCAGACCCCCCAGGCGGTGGGGGGGGCTGTGTTGGCGGTGGTGAGGGTGACCCAGGGCTGCCCTTGCACAAGGGTGGCAGGCGGCTGCGGGAGGGCAGGGTGATACCCTCAGGCCTGGCTGCTGGCAAGGTGAGCCTTGTGGACGAGCAGGGTCTTTGCCTGTGTGTGTGTCCATCTGGGGTGAGTGGGGGGCTCTGGCTCATTTTGGGGTCGCATCCAGATTTACTTGGCTTGGATCCAACAGTTGGCTCTCTGGATGGGGCAACCTTACTAGCCTGTTGTTTTATCTTTCCAGCCCAGTGGAGGGCACTTATTTTGGGGTGAGGACATCTGGGAAGTCTCCTGAGAGGTCAGGCAGCAAAGCTGGAGGGGGGACAGCCCCAAGAGTGGGGGGGAGCCCAGCCCAGCTGACTGAGGGAGGTCCCATGGCCCCAGCCTGCAGTGTCCACTGCCCCATCGTGGGGTCCAGCAGCCCGGGGAAGCGGCAGCCCCAGCCTGGACGGCAGGTCTGTGGGGCAACCGCTAGGGCTGACTTGCCACTGACTGCAGAGCTGCCCCTCTGTCCAGTGTTTCCCTTCTGCAGAGCCCACCCCGAGAGCTGCAGAGGCTCAGGTTACCACAGAAACTTGGAGGGATCCGTACACCGATGCCCACGTTGTTCCTACTCAGAGATGAATGGGGGCTTGTTTGCTATACTCAAGTGCTGGAAAGTTGTCAGTACGTGGGTTACGACAGCTTTTCTTTAGCAAAACCACATTATGGCTTCAGGAAGCGTTGGTCCCATTTGAGGCTCGGTGTGGTCGTTGCCCGTTTACCTTGGATGGGGCCAGATTTCCATCCTGGGGTCCTGCTTAGGTTTCAGGGAGGATCACAAATCCCTGAAAATGTACTTAAAACGTGTGCAGGTTTGCCCTTTTCTGAGAAGAGGCTCTGTATCTTCCCCTTTAATTTGTTGAGGGCCCTGGCCCCCAGGAGGCAGCTGAGCGGCTGCTGACAGCAGGTGGCAGTAGGGGCACTTGGTGTCCCTTCTGTGTGGAGGCTGGTGCCTGTGCTGTGCCTCCTGGGGAGACAGAGGGGCTGGGCAGTGTTGCCAGGAGTCCTCTGGACGGCGGGGTCTCCGGAGGAGGAGCCGAGGGTTGCCATGGTGCCCGCATTCTCCCTCTCTCTTCCCTCCCTCCATGTGTTAGGACAGGTGCCCAGCCATCTGGTGCCAGCTGAGTGGCTCCCCGAGACACCTTGGTCGCTCCCGGGTGTCCTGGCACAGCCCCCAGCTCCCTGCGTGGGAGCCCCAGGTCTTGAGGGGCCTCCGTGGACGCTGCCTCCCACGGCCCCACCAAGCCTGCTCTCAGAACAGTTTCTGTTGGGGGAGGCTCGAGGAAGCCCTGGGTTTAAAATACAACAAACAGAGGAGACGCAGGAGGGCCCTGGGGACCGCATCGTTTGAGGCTCCGTTTCTAGAATCAGAACGTGTGGGGACCCAGCCTGTGGACGCTGGTCAGCAGTGAACGTCTGAGCAGTGGTCTTCATGGTCGGGGTTTGTGGAAGGCTGTGACGGGAAGGTGGACTGTTCGTGGTGGTCTGTGGAGCCACTGAGTTGGGAGGCAGAGAGCCCTCAGCCCAGGACGGCGAAGGGGTCCCTTCCGAGGGCGCAGCCCCCAGGACAGTGACCCATCAGTGAGGGTGTGTTCACGTATGGAGGAAGGACACAGCTCAGCAAACCTTTTCCACCGTGACACCATTCGTTATGTTTTTATTTACTCGATTGCTCTAGAACACCAGAGAATTCAGAAAAATATGAGGAATTAAAATCGCAATCCTCTCCCTCCACTGACCATCTGTCCCCCCTCACTGACCACCTGTCCCCCTTCACTGACCACCCCATCCCACTTACCTGCACTGACAGCCCTTCCCCCCACTGACCACCTGCCCCCCCCACTGACCAACCCATCCCCCTTCGCCATACTGACCACCTGTCCCCCGACCGCCCATCCCCCACACTGACCGCCCGTGCCCCCCACTGACCGCCCATCCCCCCGCACTGACCGCCGTCCCCCCGCACGGACCGCCGTCCCCCCTGCACGGACCGCCCATAACCCCCGCAATGACCGCCCGTCCCCCCTGCACTGACCGCCCGTCCCCCCGCACTGACCGTCCGTCCCCCCTGCCCTGACCGCCCGTCCCCCCGCACGGACTGCCGTCCCCCCCGCACAGACCGCCTGTCCCCCGCACTGACCGCACTGACCGCCGTCCCCCCCCCCCCGCACTGACCGCCGTCCCCCCCGCACGGACCGCCCCTCCCCCCACACGGACCGCCCGTCCCTCCGCACGGACCGCACTGACCGCCGTCCCCCCGCACTGACCGCCTGTCCCCCCGCACTGACCGCCGTCGCCCCGCACTGACCGCCCGTCCCCCCGCACTGACCGCCGGTAGCCCTGTACTGACCGCCGTCCCCCCGCACGGACCGCCCGTCCCCCCGCACGGACCGCCGCCCCCCCGCACGGACCGCCCGTCCCCCCGCACGGACCGCCCTTCCCCCCGCACTGACCGCCCTTCCCCCCACACTGACCGCACTGACCGCCGTCCCCCCGCACTGACCGCCGTCCCCCCGCACTGACCGTCTGTCCCCCCGCACTGACCGCCCGTAGCCCTGCACTGACCGCCCGTCCCCCGCACTGACCGCCCGTCTCCCGCACTGACCGCCTGTCTCCCGCACTGACCGCCCGTAGCCCTGCACGGACCGCCCGTAGCCCCCGCACGGACCGCCCGCCCCCGCACTGACCGCCCGTTCCCCCCTGCACGGACTGCCCGTCTCCCCCGCACGGACCGCCCGTCCCCCGCACTGACCGCACTGACCGCCGTCCCCCCGCACTGACCGCCCGTCCCCCCTGCACGGACCGCCCGTCTCCCCCGCACGGACCGCCTGTCTCCCGCACTGACCGCACTGACCGCCGCCCCCCCGCATTGACCGCACTGACCGCCGTCCCCCCTCACGGACCGCCCGTCGCCCCCGCACGGACCGCCCGTCGCCCCCGCACGGACCGCCCGCCCCCGCACTGACCGCCCGTTCCCCCCTGCACGGACTGCCCGTCTCCCCCGCACGGACCGCCCGTCCCCCGCACTGACCGCACTGACCGCCGTCCCCCCGCACTGACCGCCCGTCCCCCCTGCACGGACTGCCCGTCTCCCCCGCACGGACCGCCTGTCTCCCGCACTGACCGCACTGACCGCCGCCCCCCCGCATTGACCGCACTGACCGCCGTCCCCCCTCGCGGACCGCCCGTCGCCCCCGCACGGACCGCCCATCCCCTGCACTGACCGCACTGACCGCCGTCCCCCCGCACGGACCGCCGTTCCCCCGCACGGACCGCCCATCCCCTGCACTGACCGCACTGACCGCCGTCCCCCCCCGCACTGACCGCCCGTCGCCCCCGCACGGACCGCCGTCCCCCCGCACGGACCGCCCATCCCCTGCACTGACCACACGGACCGCCGTCCCCCCCCGCACTGACCGCCCGTCGCCCCCGCACGGACCGCCGTCCCCCCGCACGGACCGCCCATCCCCCGCACTGACCGCACGGACCGCCGTCCCCCCCCGCACTGACCGCCCGTCGCCCCCGCACGGACCGCCGTCCCCCCGCACGGACCGCCCATCCCCTGCACTGACCGCACGGACCGCCCGTCCCCCCGCTGACCGCCCGTCCCCCCGCAGGTCCACAGCAAGGACAAGAAGTATGTGTGCAAGTTGTGCAGCCGTGTGTTCATGTCGGCCGCCAGCGTGGGCATCAAGCACGGCTCGCGGCGCCACGGCGTATGTGCCGCCTGCGCGGGCCGAGGCGTGGCCGGGCCCCTGGACGGCGGTGGCACGGAGGGCTCCCCCGAGCTGTTCCCTGGCGACGGGCCCTACCTGGAAGACCCCGACGACCCGCGGGGGGAGGGCGAGGAGGAGCTGTGCGAGGACGAGGATGAGGTGGGCCTGGCCCACGAGGACGCGCTGCTGGCGGCCGAGAAGGAGGACGAGGACTCGCCGCGGGGGCCCGGCAGCCCCCCGGGGGCGCCCGACAAGGACTTCTGGATCTCCTAGGCCGCGGGTTGGGGGCGGGGGCGGGGGCGGCGCCACCCCTCCAGTGCGCACGCGTGCGTGTCCGTGTGCGTGCGTGCGTGCGTGTGCATGTGCGTGTCCCTAGGAATCTGCTCTCGCCTGGGGCCCGGCCACGCTGAGCCCCTTTATTCTGCTCCTGCCCCAGACACACACACAGAAACCGGCCCCGCGGGGTCGGAAGCAGGCATGACCCCAGCAAGTAAGGGCTCCGGGACCGGACAGGATGTTGGGGGGCACAGGGTGGGTTTGAGCAGAGGGAGGGCACACGTTCCCTGGTGTCTGCGGGGACCAAGGGAGGGTCCCCAGCAGGGGCGCGTAGCTAGGGCACGCATGATGGCCCGATGGCCGGGTCAAGGTCGGGGCTGGTCGGGGTCATGAGCGTGGTCCCCGAGGCCACAGGTCCAAGGGGTGTTAAGGAAGGTGTTGCGTACACCCGATGTCCAGTGCTGGAGTCTCCCCCCGCCCCCTGCTCTGCTCCCCCTTTCTCAGCAGCCTGGTCACTGCCTGCAGCCACCACCGCAGCCTTCTGCCGCTGCCGTGGCGGCCCGCGGAATTCAGGTCCAGTGTACAGAAAGCCCCGTGGCCCTCCTGCCTCTGGGCTTTGGTGCTTCACATACAACAGCTGCAGACGCCCCTGCCGGGGCCGAGGACTCCCAGGTGCTATCATCCGGTGGAGGCCGCCAGGTGGGGACCGACGTGCCACGCTCCTCTGGTGCAGGGCTCAGCGCGCCCCGCTGCTGGCCACTCAGGGCCCTTTGGGGCGCCTGGGCTCTTCGTTCCGCGTGCACTTCCTTGGGGAGCCCGGGGGCGGCCTCGTCCCCTCGCCTCTGCCGTCCTTCGTGCCCAGGCCCCTCCTGCCGGCCCCTCCTGGGTGCCCTTGCCTTGTTGCTGCTAACACTGGAGGTGGGGATCCTGACAGCCGTGCCACCTCCCCGCGTGGGTAACCAAACTTTTTAAGTTGTCAGAGACATAGTTGAGGTAGTTACATAAAATTATTTTGTTTGGCATTATTTTTCTGACGTGACAAAACCTAGCGTCTTTCCTTCAGCTTGTCAGTCCTTCTGTTGTCTTTGTAGATGAGCTCACCGCCTCTTTGTGATCTGGTTTTTTCTGAGTGAAAAGCAAGGGCCCCGCTGTGAGGACCCTCCCCTGGGCCGCAGGACCCGCCCTGGTCTGTCCCCTTCCCCGGTAAGGCCGTCGCGGACCACACTTCACTACTCAGACATTCCGTCCTGCGCCCGCACGGCTCAGGAGCAGGCAGGGCCCGTCCGGGCACGAGCCCCGCTGAGGGCAGTGTTTCTACGTTCTCTTTTTCCACGGACTGTAAGCTTCTACCAGGCTGGTCACCGTGTCCCATCTATTCTTTTTAGGTGGAAAAAGGAGAATCCCCCGAGCCCCTAACTTAGGTTCCGGGGGTGGCCTGGAGCGCTCGCCTCCCTGGCTGCCGCTGGGGTGCCGGGGGCCTTCTGTGCGTGTTTTCAGTACCATCGGTTAGAGGGCGTGGACAGAGCCGGCCACCGGCCGCCCGCGCCCCTGTCCCCCGAGGGGGCGTGGGGAGCCCTCGCGGGCTGCCCTGCCGGCTCTTCCTGACACGCGGGTGGGGGGTGGGGGGCGAGGCCAGTGCAGGGGCTCTGGGACCCACTTCCCTTGCTGCCTTTCTCCAGTGGGGCCCCGGGCTGCACCCCTCACAGGGCCCTCAGAACTGTGTACCTCCCCGACTTTCTGACCCCTTTTCTAAACAGACCTACTTTCTTATAAATGTATTTGGAAACCAGACCTTTGCTACCAATAGTGTCTCTGGGTTTTGTACCGGTCCCACCGCTCAGGCCGTCCTGCCCACACCCTGGGCCATCTCTGCCTCCGCACTCAGGACATCTCGCTCTTTCCGACCCGCTCGCTCCCTGCTTTGGACCACCCTTGCTGACCTTTTTGGAGGGTCGCTCTCAGTGCCACAGGGGCATTTTCTTCCTTAAAACCAATACTGTACTGGAAAACCGAGGGCCCCACTCCCGCCCACCAAGTTCGCAAGGCGTGTGCGCAGTTTGCCTCCGTCGACGGAAATGAAGGCATCCCCTCTCAGGAGGCGTGGAGGGAAAAGACGTGTAATGAAGGGTTTTTTTACGTGACTGGTTTTTTTTTAAATCAACGTTTAAACTAATAAATATTTTTTTATGAAGAGGAGAAAAATGTGTAGATTACATTTCACGTTTTGTACTTTTTTGTTTGTGTCTGTCTGTATTTTGGTGTTTGCAACACCCAAGTGGAAAATGCAGTCCGTTGAGTGGTGAGTTCTTTGGGGTGGGGGGGGCAGGGAACCCGTATGACTTTTGTATCAAGCTCTGGATCCCGACCAGGTTGTATATTTGGACTCTGGGTTTTGGGAAACAGTCATAACACTGCCAGGACTGAATAGGGACCTCGACTCAAGAGACACGGCTACTCCTTCCAACTTTGCACATCTTCCTTTTTAAGAAAGAAACTGAGAAAAGGCAAAAACTGGAACTTTTTGCAATATGATGAAAGATAATCTTATTTTCGCTCATTCTGTGACACGTGCAACGCTTAAGAAAGCCATACTTACTGGTGGTTTTTATTTTTTAGGTTCTATATTGTGTTTGTGTGTGTGGCCCTTTCAGAACCACTCGTAGTGAGGGTGCTGTGTGTGTGCTTTTCTGAAATATTTATTTTTTCAACATGCTTTCAACCTGTCAACAAAAACAAAACAAACAAGGGCAGTGTTTGAAAATTGTTGGTTTTCTTTCCCTTGGGGATAATCTATATCATATCAACTTTATATTATCATAAACCTGTGTTTGTATTGGAGATGTGTTTAATATTTGGGAGAAGAGACTTCGGTGATCGGCTGGCAGAAAATCGCAGCTGTTGCAGTCCGTAGCCACAGGGCAGGTGGATGGCACCTTCCTGTCTGCCGGGGCGAGCTCTGGGCCTGCCTGGGTCTCCTTCCTGTGACGGGTTAGCTTCGACCTTCTTGCAAAGCTTCCACTTTCAATAAACTGGGAAATTGCTGCTCAAGCGGACGCCTCGTGAGTGTTTCACAGTGTCCCCTCCTCCTCTGTCAGGGCGTGAGCCCTCTGCGGTCTGTTGGCTGGCCTCCCTGGTCTGCCCACCCACCACCCCTGCCTCTGGCAGGATCTCAGTTCCCCCCAGGAGGCAGACAACGGCTTCTGGAAAAACCCCAAATCTTTAATTTTTCTCCTTGCCTGGCGCGGCCCAGACTCGAGACACCTGAGCTTCGCAAACAAGATACAAACGTCAGCGCCCGGGGCCCTCGAACCATCGGGTTAAGTGCGGGCAGGGGAGGCCCCTCCCTGACACCCCTCAAAGTGCATCACAGACCGGCCCCCATGTGGCCCTGAAGTTGGCCCATCAGCACCCTGACAAGTCCATGGGCTGACAGGCAGGGAGGGCGGCCACCCCCAGGGACCCCGGGCCAAGGGGACAGCCGTGAGGTTTGGCTTTAGTGCAAAAGGCTGGTTTCTTCAGAGGCACTTTGAGTGGTGGGACCCCCCCCCACAAACCTCTGGGGGTCCAGGGTCACCGAACTTCCCCCACCATTAAAAAGCAAACCCTGCCGCAGGAGGAGCGCCTGGCTGGGGGCTGGGGGTAGCTTATTTTCTCCTCGGCAGAGTCCTGGGGAGCGGGGCAGCAGCTTGGGGTGGGCACGGGCGCGCATGCTCAGTCCAGGAAGCGCTGGCACGCCTTCTTCCAGCGGCAGGCTGTGCACCACAGGTCCCGGTGCTCCATGCCGTACACCTTCCGGCACTTCTTGGCGTCACCCCGGGGCTTCCTGGGGGGACGCAGAGGAGACGCGGCGGGCTCATGCTAGGCCGGGACCCTCCCTGCCGGACACCTGCCCCGGCCCCTCAACACGCACGCACCTTGGGTTGGCACCGAGCTTGGAGGGCAGGGTTGGCACACAGGTCCTGATGGTGGTGGGCCGTGGCTCCAGGCGGATGGGGGCCAGGCAGCCCTGAGAGGAGACACAGCTGTGTCCTCTCCCCCGTCCCGAGCACCCCGAGACTCACCCCGAGCTGCTGCCTGTGGCCTCACCCACCTGGTAGGTGTTGTCACCGTGGCACACCTCAGGGGGTGCCGCAGAGCTCAGCACGGGGACTGGGGGCAGGGCCAGCGGCCGCAGCAGGCTGGACAGGGTCGGGGGCTCTGGCAGCTCCAGGCGGGGGAAGGCGGGTGGCGCGGAGGCTGTGGGGGACACTGGGGACAGGCTGGACAGCCCGTCTGTCAGCACATCCATGCCAACGTCCAGCTCTGTGTAGTAGAAGTCCTCCTCACCGTCGCTCTGCTCTGGCTCTGCCTGCCGCCTGCGGGGGACACAGTGGGTGGGAGCTGAAGCCTTGGTCCACCTGGCTTGCCCCACCCCCCCCGCCAGCCCCACCGCACCCCAGGTGCACCAGGCGGATGTGTCTCTGCATCCCGGAGGCCGTGCTCAGCACCTTCCCACACCGCTTCCACAGACACTGGAACAGGACCTGCACTGAGCTCTGGGTGACAAGGGCTGGTGGTCAGGCATGGCCACCGCGTCCACCCCGCCCTGAGGGCTGCCTCAGGCTCACCTTCCTCTTCCTTGGGGCAGGTTCCCCAAATAGGAAATGGGCTGCCTCAGAGGGCAGTGGGGGTGACGGGGTAGATGGAGAGGACTGGTCGCTGGCCAGGTCCCAGCCCCAGTCTCCGCTGCAGCTGCCCAGTGGCCGCACCAGGGCCTCCTTCCAGGGCTCCAAGCCAGGCTCTGTGGGGACACACCGGCAGCCGGGTTAGGGCTTCCGTCGGGCTCGGGCTGCTCTTCAGAGGCTGCCGCTGCAAGCCCCTTAACTCTGCGCCTCCGCCCGTTCACCTGGTCACAGATGAGCCACGTCTTTTGGAGGAAGCAGTGGCCGGGAGGACTAGCCTCCTCAACACAGGGACATCCTGCATGGGGAGACGCCTGGCCAGCCAGGGGGAAATGCACAGGTCACAGGCCCGCAGACTGGGACACACTGAGAGGCACTGGGGGTCCTGATGTCTGTCTCAGGCCTCAAGAGGTCTATTTAGAAGGTGGTGTTCCAGGCAAAGAGGTTCTGCTTGCCCCAAGGGGTGGGCAACCACAGGGTCCCGGAGACCCCAGGCCAGGTGTCTCAGTCTCACCTGGGCTACAGGCTGCAGCTGGGGCCCCCAGCAGGAGGGGGCTGGTGGACAGACTTGTGAGGGCAGCCGCAGCCATGACCTCATCCAGTCGGGATTTTCCCGGGGGGGCTCTGGAAGAGATGTGGGTGGCGTCCAGCAAGTACTCCAAGCTCCTCCCCTAGCCCAGCACACGTGCAGGCCTGGGCACTGTGTGTGTGTGTGTGTGTGTGTGTGTGTGTGTGTGTGTGGCACGGCTCCCTCCCTCCAGGCACTGGGCTGGAGGCCCGTCTCCACCCCCAGCTCGGATTACAGAGACCAAATCTCCAGGAACCACCAGACACAGGGCCCAGGCTGGGGTCTCCCTGAAGCCTGAGTCCTCTGCAGCCTGGGCTTTGTTCCACGGTGGCTCCTTCAGGCCCAGGCGCTGGACAGGGGTCTGAGGCCCCACCCCCAGGCCGGGCCAGGCGAGGCCAGGCCGGGCCCAGCCCTCCCCCCAATCACACAGTAACCAGGGTTGTGCAACAGCAGCTGCAGCCGCGCCAGGCCTGGGAGGGAGGGACCAGCCAGCAGCAGCCAGGGGAGACAAGCTGGGTCCCCAGGCCCCAGCAGGCCAGGCCACAGCCCGCCTCTACCTGAGAAGCCAGCTTTGGGTGTGGGGCACCCAGGAGGGTTTTAGGCAGGGCTAGGAGATGGCCGTCAGAAGCCCTGGGGTTCCTGGACCGTCAACCTCACGTCAGCGGGCAGCCTCTACGGCACAGAGACTGACAGGGGCCCCCTCCCAGCTCTGCGCTCTGGCCCCCAGAGCTTGGGGGGCGCATGGGGCACGATACACTGATAATTTCTGCTCCACTCCTCCAGCGCTGGAGAGCTGGGGAGGGGGGCAGGAACCCCAGGTCGGGGCCCTGACCTGCCCTCCACCAAGACCCCTCCACCCTCCGTGGGGTGGGGCTCGAGAAGGCACGTGCCCGCGCCCCACCCACCACCCCTGCGCACACCAGCGCACGTGTGCGCACGCCCACCTCGGCCTGGCGCGATAGACCCTGGCTCACCTCTGCGCTGGCACGGGGATGTGCGCCGACGGCTTCGGGGGCCCCACCGCCGCCCCCGCCCACGTCCCCGGAACCCCTAGGTTGGCGGCCCGCGGCTCCGGCTCCCGAGGCAGCACGAACTCCAAGCCCGCAAAGCCGCCGCCCACGGCAGGGCCCTGCGGAAGGGGCAGGCTCAGCGCAGGCAGCGGCACGGGGGTTCCCAGCCCCCACCCCGGATCCGCTCCGCACCCGCCCCCCAAACCGGCTGCGGCCGGTGGGGACGGCGCAGCCCCGCCCCCGGCCCCGCCCCCGGCCCGGCGCGGCGGGAAGCGCTCCCGGGCCGCTCGGCCCGGCACTGCCAGGCCCGCGGACACGCGCGGACCGCCACGGCCGCCCCGCCCCCCGGGGCCCAAAGTTTGTGCAGCCCCGACGCCATCTTTGCAGCGAGGGAGTTTGGTCGGCGCCCCGCCCCCCGGCGCCCGGTACCTGCGGCGGCGCGGGCACCGATACGGGCGCGGCCGCGGGGTCCCGGCCGGCGGCACGGGGCGGGGGGCGCCCGCAGCCCGGAACGGGCAGCGGAGGGCGCTCGGCCTCCATGGCCAGCCGGCCGGCCGGGTGCCGAGGCTGCAGCGGCGAGGGCGGACGCTCGGGACACGGCCCCCCAGGCCGGGCCGGGCCGGGCTGGCCGGGCCGCCGACCCCTGCCCTCGATCGGCCGCCGCCCGCGCCGCGCGGCCGGGAGGCTGCCGGCCGGCCACGCCCCCTTAGCGCGGCTCCCGCGCCCCGCCTTGCGGCCCCGCCCCTGGCGCACGCCCATTGGCTCGCGCGCTGTATCAACATTCCGAGGTGGACCGCGGCCGGGGCCAGCCGCGCTCCCATTGGCTTGCGCTCCGAGGCCCGGCCCCCGAGCCGGCCGCAGCCGCGCGGCCTGGGGAAAGGGCCCCGCTCGCGGCACCGCCGGTTCCTGTCGGTCCCTCGCCCCTGCGGAGCCCGGGGTGCCCGTGCGCCCCCGCCGCCGGGGAGGGCCGGCTTGCTCGCGGGTGTGCCTGCGCGCAGAGCTGCCAGATCCGGGGAAGGGGTCGCGTCTCCTTGGCGGGCTTCCCGGGAGCAGGTTATTCTTTAACGCACGACTGCCCACCTACCCCGTACCTTATGTAACACCAGGGGCTGGGCGGCGGAGCCCTCCCTTAGTGTTCAGGGTCCAAGTCCCACCCTGGGGCGGTCAGCTCGCGGGCCGGCTGCAACACGTGCTAAGACCGACTTGGCCTGGGGACCACCACCCCTAGAGCTAGCTTCCCTTCCCCACACTGTCTTCTGAAACTGACCAGCTGCGCACAGCTTCAGGCGGCAGGGCCCAGACACCCCAGGCAGGAGTGCCCTTCAGACAATCCCTGCCAACCTTCCCAGGCCTTCAAGAAAAGTAGGCTGTGAGGCACGGCTGTATTCATCCTCCCTGCGCTGGGGATTTATTAAGACCTTGGGAGAGGCTAAGAGGCCACGGCAGCCAGGACCCCCAAGGACCTCACAGGCTGGAAGCCTTGGGATCTGGACTTTGTGCTGCCAACTTCGGGGGGCGGGGATAGGGAATGGGCGTTGGGCAGTACTCTGGAAGGAGGAACTCTATACTTGGTCGTTCCAGGCAGATGGGGAGTTGGAGACCCCTCCCTAGGTTGAGGCTGGGGAAGCCTGCAAAGGTGCACTCATGCTAACAGCTAGACCAGGAGGGCTCCAGGTGCTGGGGAGGGGGCGGGCATCTCCTGGATACTCTCATACACATTTTCCAGGAGGCCATCATCCTTGCCCAGGCCCCTGAGTGGGAGGGTCTCGTAGGACTGGTCACTTCCCAGAGGCGGAATTACTCCCCTGCCCTTCGGGTCCAGCTGGTCTGTGGCAGGTCCTGGATCCCTCTTTTTAGGCTTCCTGACTCTGGAGTACAGGATGTCCACCTGGGAGAGAGGAAGCCAACCCAAGGAGGGGTCAGCACCATAGACTCCTTCGAGGACCTGTACAGCCCTACCCACCCTACCCCATCCGCTCCAATTTACCTGAACAGCTGGGGTCAGCTTGGCCTTCCCCTGCCCCAGGCTTTGGGGGCCCTGATCTGTTTCCTTGAGCTTCTGGATACAAGCATACTCCGCCACCTCAGGTCTGGCCTCAGGCCCAGGCCTGGCACAGCTGCTGGTTAGCTGTGCCCCTGCCCACACCACAGGGCTGGCTGCCAGGCTGGCCCTGGGGATTGCAGCCAGCCCCACATTGGAATAGGTGGCCTCGGGGCAGATGGAGGGTGAGGTGGCAGCAGGCATTGCCTGGGGCAGTTCCCGGTGTGAGAAGGCTGCCATAGGCCTGCTGGTGCCTCTGGGCACCTCCAGCCATTGTGGGCGCAGGATATCCATGCTGGCAGGCCGCGGAGCTAGGGGTCAAGACAGAGGTTACTGGGGCAGGGAACCGATGCGGGGGGAGCCGCGGAGCTGCTCCAGGGTGCAAGCCCCGCCCATGCCCCGGTCCCGCCCCTCCCGGCTGGGCTCACCTCTGCAGCCAGCAGGGCCCCCATGCAGCTCGTGCAGTCTCGTGTCCGACTTGCTGAGGGTGCAGAAGTGGTGTCGTCTCAGCAGTGACTGGGGGCAAGGAAGGCTGGTGGGTCCTGTGCTGGCCCCGCCCTGGCCCCCGGGGACAGCCTGGCACTCACCGCTTCCGCTGGCATCACACCGCCCTGGGGCCTGGCCCGCTGCCTCTGCACCCGCTTCCTGGGGGCAAGAGTCTCATCAGGCCAGGGAGGCAGAGATGGGGGGCTGAGGTGCCAGGCTCTGGTGCAAGGCCCAGCAGGGAGGCTCACGCACAGAGCCAAACCTGCTTGGAGCCATGGCCCACACCAAACCCAGGTCAGGGATGACATACCTGTGGCAGGCCGTGCACAGTGTCCACAGCCAGAGGGACAGGGCAAGGCACCCGAGGACCCAGAGGGCAGGAGGGGCTGAGGGCACCTGTGGCCCCATCCTGCGAAGCCGCAGGTAGGCCTGGGGGCAAGAAGACAGGGTGCTGGAGGCGGAGAGGCTGGGCACCTACCTGGCAGCCCCCCCTGCTGCACCTCAAGCTGCTGGGCAGTCTCCTCCCCCTGGGGCGCTCTGACTCAGCACACAGGAAACCCCAGGCTCCACAGCCCCTCCTTCCTACAGAAGCATGGAGTCCAGGCCCTAGCAGCTACCTTCCCACCTCTGAAGGGGGGCTCCTCGTGACACGGAAGGAGGCGTGCTTTGCTTGGCCCTGTGAGTACCTGAGTGGGCGAAGATGACCCAAACGGTAGCTGAGCATGGCCGGTGAGGAGGGGCAGGGGAGTTGTGAGCAGGCCAAGGGCCTGCTGTGGTCACCGTAGCCTGAACTTGGGACCTAGGGAGGTCCTGAGGTCACACCCTAGGCCCTCTAAGGCACAGGCCACTGTCTCAGATGGTGCCCCCCTAGCCATCCACTGCTGAGCTTTGTCCCCTGAGGGGCTGGATAGGCAGGGGAGGGGTCAGCAGGCAGGGAGAGGTTGCTTTGTCCCATGACTGCCCCCACCCCACTTCTCCCTGGCTCTCCACCCCTTCCCTCCAACTGTCCCTGCCATCGGATCAGGGTCTTCTTCCTGGGATCTTAGCAGAGCTGCTGGGGTGGGGTGTCTCTAGAGACGGGCGGCCAGTCTGCCCAGACCCAGGGGGAGTGGGCTTAGCTCGTAAGAGGGTCTGGGATGGCTAACCTGGTCCTCCCAGACCCCAACCCTCAGCTGCTCCCAGGAGGGCACCAAGGGGCCTGGGGACCTGACCAGGGTGGAAGCCAGAACAGGCACTTACCAAGGCCGGCGCGTGGTGGCCCCTCCTCAGCCCCGTGTGGAGCAGGCCCGGCGGCCTGGGCACCCTGTGAAGTGCCTCTGTACAGCCCTCAGCCTCGCTCCCCACCTCACTTCCTGCCTGTGCATCTCCCTGCATCTCCCCAAGCAGCCACTCAACGCTCTGCAGCCATCGCTCCTGCCGCAGCCCCCGTGTGGGGTCTAGACATCACTTGGCGGGCGTGTGCAGCATGCCAGCGCTGCTCCCAGAGCCGAACTCGTGGTCTCCTCCCCCCGTGAGGTGGGCACACACCGGTGAGGAGGCAGGCACAGCACGGGAACTGGGCGGTCTCGTGGCCGCTGCATCCTGGGGCTGAACCCAGGCTCTCAGACTTCCAAACCCACCCGCCAGGTCCTCCTGCCTCATTCATGGTGCTTCCTGAGACGCATCTGGCCACGACCTCCTCCCCCTGCTGTAGCATCAAGTCCCACACACTCGTGGGGGTCGGGCAACGTGGGGGAGGGGCAACGTGGGGGAGGGGCTGCCGGCAGAGCCCCACCCAAGAGAGCCAGGAGAATGCCAGCCTTTGGGCCCTCCGCCTCTGGGCAGGGGGTGGCGCCCACTCAGGGCCCCTCCAGCCTGGCCTCATGGCCCTGTGCAGAGACCCCTCTGCCCCCAAAGCCCCCACAAGCCAGCTGAGCCTTCACTGAAAGACACAACATGATCACTTTAATGTCTTTGCGAAGGAGACCCCCTAAGACACTGGCAGGTGGGCTCAACGGGCAAGTTAAGTGTCCAGACGTGACCCCTGCAGCCCCATCTCCATTCAGCAGTGTCCACATGCCCTGGGCCAGGGAGAAGGCTGGCCATGGGGGCTAGGCTGGGAGCAGGGGCCCCTCTTCCAGTAGCATCTAGTTGCTGGGTGACAGCTAGTCTTCCAGAGGGCAGCCAGGAGCTGGGGGCCCTGAGCTCTGTCCACTGCGTGCACAGGGGCTCTAGAACTCAGTCATCTTCTTGTGGGTGTCTGCTTTCCTCTGCTCGCGCTGCAGGCCTGCCTCCTGGGCCTGGAGCTGTCCCAACTCCCGCTGGGCTCCCATCAGCCTCTCCTGCAGCTGGGCTGCCGTCACACTGTGCCTAGACAGGAGCCTGCCGTTCAGCATGGGCTGCTGGGCCACCGGCACGAAGCCCCACAGTGCATCCATCCTCCTCCAGGCATCAGACCCTCCTCAGACAGCCCCCACCCTCGGTCAGAGCAATCTCCCGCGTGGGAACTGTGGGCTGAAGGCACTGCCACCCTGGGGTACACCCTCTGCCCTGGGTTCAGCCCCACACGTACCGGCCGGTGTTTCGGGCGAGGGCCTTCTGGATGCCCTGGATGTCCCGCTGGGTTTGCTCGATCTTCTTCTCAGTCTGGAAGAGCTGCAGGCTCAGGGCCCGCTTGGCACTCTTGCTGGCATGGTATATTTCCTTGCCGCTCCTCCTCCCTGGGGGGGCCCCCTTAGCCTCCAGGGCCCCAGGGGCCCGGCACTGCAGCTTTTCGTTCAGAAAGTCAAACACACTATGAGGGGGAGGACGCCCACCCCTGCTCCCCCGGCATCTCGGGGGCCTCCGGGTTCCAGGCGTGCTGCCCTTGGTCCTCTCCTGCAGGATCTCTGCGCACTGGTCCAGCGACTTCCCTCGAGGAAGCACCACAGCATGGATGGGCTCCACCCGGCCCTCTGCATGCCGGCCCAAACCTGGGGGCACAAAGGACTAGCGCTGTTGCTGCTGGACCTGAGCGGGGCTGTAGCCGCCCCCTCCCCTCCCCAGGGCAGCACACACTCACCCTTGCCAAACTCGTAGCCCATCTTGGCCAGGAGTCTGGAGCCAATGCCCCGTGTGTGCACCTCCCAGCCAGCAAAAGCGGAGCTGCAGGTCCCGTGGTCGGCAGCACTGGGTTCCACCACTGCAGGAAACAGGGCAGTGGCTCAGCCCCACTGGACATGGAGCACCCTGGGCTCTCCATGTTAGCCCAAGAGCTCAGCTCTGGCCCAGGGCTGTGATGCCCAGCACCTCAGGCTCTCCATCGATTGCTCAGACCTGTCGTTGGCACGTGACTCTAAGGCCGAGCACTGGCAGAGTGGGGCAGAGTCTGCTGCATCCCTCCCCACACCTCAACGCCACCCCCGAGGTCACATGGCAGCCCTCCCCCCTGGAGCCCTCCCCTGACCCACCTTCTCAGGCGGTGAGCTCCCCTCCTCCCCTGGTAGAAAGTCACCACCCACTTCATGGCTCAGTCCTCCCCGCCGCCCCCGTGGACACAGGGGTTCAGAAACTACCAACTCACAGAAGAGATTCCACAAGAATATCTCCTCTCTACATCCTAACTGACCCCTCGGGAGGGCTGGACACCTCCAGCTATTCCTGAAACTCTCCTGTCCCTGGCTGTCCGGACCCAGCCTCCCCTCTATCCACCAGACACTCGGCCCCTGGGGAGACCACTGGAAGGAGCTGCTCCTGCCTGCACTCCACGCCCCACCGGCCCCGTCTTACACGCTGACTTGCGTGTCAGCCCTGCCTCGGCACACACCGCTTCGGCATGCAGGGTGTGGAGTTGTAACCCTCACATGTGCTCCCTGAAGACAAGGGCCAGGTCTCTGCCTCTGTGGGTCTCAGAACCTGCCCCCCAGCCTGCACACGCTCTGTCATCTCCCCCACCTGCTCAGGCATGAGTGCCCCCTCTGCTGAGCACAGCCCACCTCCCTGCAGCCACACTGTCCAACGGGTCCGATGGTCACAGGCCCTGCCAGCCGGAAGCCTCGCAGGTCGACTGCTGCCAATGCTTCCCCTTCCTGGCTTCTGAGACCCTGACCTGCTGCCGTACCTCTGGCATAGCTTGGGTCATCCGCGTCGCCACTGTCGGAGTCCGAGGACCCTGCGGGGTCCGTGCGCAGTGGGGGCAGGATGCCGTCCCCCTCCACCACGGCCTCCTTCAGCAGCAGTGAGTCAAACCTGACTGTGTAGTAGCCGTTATCCACATCTGGAGGCAGGGGACAAAAAGGCAGGCCAGGTCAATGGCCTCAACAGGTGGTAGGAACCACACTGAGTGTTGGAAGGAAGGTGGGACCGAGGTTGAGGGTGGCCTCGCTCCACCTGGGCATGCAACGGGGCTCTCCAGTAAGAGCCCTGTCTGAGAGGCCTGTGGGCAGCCTCACCGGTTATCCGAGCCGGGTACCAGAGGCCGTCCTGCTGCTTGGCCAGACACGCAGAGCCGGCCTGGAGGCAGCTCAGGTCTGGGTCCTGGAAGGGGCGCAGCTCGTCCACAGAGACCACTTGCCCATGGGAGAACCTGCCAAGACAACCACAGGGGAAAGGGGCTCAGACACAGCGCACTAGGGGCAAGTGAACCCAGGAGAACCAAGTCCACCTGCCTGGGCACTGCCGTGAAGGGAGGGAGAGACGGGAAACAAACGGACACACACACGCGCATGGACGCGAGTACACACATACATCCCCGCACACAAACACAGGCAGGTGTATGCAAGACGCACACTCTCTCCTTTGCAGGATGGATCTGCCCCCTGAGGACAAGATGCTTTGCACTACTCTCCAGCTTTCTGGGCTAGAGTAACGACGTGGTGGGCAGACACCCATGGGACTAAAGCTCCCCATCACCTCTCCACCAGACAGGAGGCCCTGACACTAACAGATAATCAAGGCAGGTGTGTGTGTGTGTGTGTGTGTGTGTGAGCTCACAGGACTGGTCCTTCCCAAACCAAGTGGGAGAACACAGTTGTAACAGCAATGTCCTGACCTTTAGATTTCAGTGAACCAGTGAGATTAAAACCAAAACCGAGAGAGGGAGAGGAGGGGGGAAGAAGGCGAAGAAAGAGGAAGAAATGTGGGGACAAAGGACTACAAGCTTCAACTCTGCCAAATAAAGGCATGAAAGACTAACCACATATCCACTCTACTGTGCCAGCATTTCAAAGAGGAAACTGTTTTAACCCTACAAGAGCAATCAAGGACTTGCATTCACCCCGCGACGCAGAGACAATGCAGCCGTGGCAAGTCCTTCCAGGCGGAAATTGGTGGTGGCACAGGGGACAGAAGACAGGTTCCACCCTCTCACAGGTGGACAAAGATGGCCTCAGACACCTCCCCTGGCAAGATTGCGGGCAGTTCCTTCTGCTCCCTGTCCTCAGGCCCTCAGGACGCTGCCAATGACCAAGCAGCAGCAGCATCTGCAAGACTGGGCCCCAGACGCACTGCAGTGGTGACTCTGCTTGAAGATCCTTGTTCAACCAAGGAGCAACACAATGTGTTCACAAGGGGAGGCCAACACCCAGGACTGAGGTCAGCCAAATACCCACTTCAACACTCCCACAGACGCACGCCTCCACAGACATGCATGCCCACACGTGCCCCCACAGACACCCCCAGACATGTACCCCCCAGACATGCGTGCCCCTGCACACACACATCCCCCTCACGCCTGCACCCCACACACATATCCCCCAAACACGTGCACCCCACGGACACGTGCGCCCACACACATCCCCAGACATGTGCACCCCCAGACACGCGTGCCCCCACAAGCCCCCACAGACACACCCCACAGACAAGCAAGCACCAGACACATGCCCCCCCCATGCCCCAACACACACACCCCAGACACGCACACGCCCCCACAGACACATGCACCCCCACAGACATACGCCCCCACAGACACCACCAATTAAAATTTCTCTGCAGGAATCTTCAGTGATAACAGAAGCCTGAAAATTTGGTATACTCCTTAACCTGGGAAAGCACGTCTAAGAAATGATTCTAGAAAAATAATAATGAAAGTACGCAAAGATTTGGTTCAAAGGATGTTAACCAAATACCAAAAGACTTGGAAATAACCTAAATTTCTAACCATGGGGTGTAGTTAATGGCATATCCATAAAATGAATTTAAAACTAAGACAATGGGCAAATTGATCAATGGAATGAAAAAGAGCACCCGGGAAGAGCACCATGCACACAAAAAACTTCCTATGTGACAGAGAAAATACTACAAACAAGTGAGGAAAGGACAGACTACTGGTTTCATAAGCAAAAGATTAGAAACTGGTTTCCTGGGCGCCTGGGTGGCTCAGTTGGTTAAGCAACTGCCTTCGGCTCAGGTCATGATCCTGGAGTCCCGGGATCGAGTCCCGCATCGGGCTCCCTGCTCGGCAGGGAGCCTGCTTCTCCCCCTGACCCTCCCCACTCTCATGCTCTCTCTATCTCATTCTCTCTCTCAAATAAATAAATAAAATCTTTAAAAAAAAAAGAAACTGGTTTCCTGTGTTAAAAACCCCAACTCAATCACCTACCGCACAACATTCACAGAAATGCATTCCAAAATACACAAATCTTGAACCTCAAAACAAGTATTTAGAACTATAAAGAAGGTTCTGAGTTAGAGCTGTGGCCAAGTACAGGAAAACAAGGCTAAAACTGAGCAAAGTGGTCCAAACTCACAGCTTCAGAACTCTGGAAATGGAACGAAACAGACAACACGTTGGTTAGTCATTATTTTTGAAAAAGTGCCCAACT